CATGCTCTTCCCTCTAGTGGAGGAAACTCACTGAGGGCAGGGAGTAGAGAAGGTGCTGCTTTATCTCAGCCTCAGAAACATCACAGGAGAAGGAAATCCTGAGAGGCCCAGACTCACTGTTCAATCCAACAGCCCTGCTGGGAGGAGATGCCCAGAAATGGGCGATCGCTGTAGGTCTTCCTGGAAACCCCCTTTCTTCCAGAATCCCAGTCACTGTAATGCAGCCTCCAAGCAGAGTTGGGTCGTCTCAGAATGTCTCTCACCCATGGAGAGGCTCCCCACGTGGGAGACTTAGGGGTCGTCCCATTGAGGCAACACCGTTCCCATTGAGGGTGTTTTACCAGAGGCCCAGGATCCTGAATCCTGGACTGTGAGCACGTGGGGACCTTTAGACCATCCAGCCTGACTCCCCATGTACAGAGAGGCGCCTGAGGTCAAAAGGTGACAGAGGCTTTGTCCACAGTCACGTGGCCAGTGAGTGAGGAGGTTGTTCCAGAACCCCATCTGATTTTACCAACTTTTTCCTGCTTCAAATACAGACACTCTATCCATCAAAAAGCCTGGTGAATGCAGGCACTGAATTAAATTTCAGTACAGCACACTGTTTATCAGGGATCCGGAAGCTCTTATATTCACTGCTACCCAGAGCTTCACATGCCTCTCACACTCAGAATTTGTGGCCCAGGTGATGGGGAGCCTCTCCCTACCTGCAGCCACGTCGCCCCAAATCGAGAATCCACATCAGCACCTAGAGCTGCCCCTATTCAACAGCTGCCTCCCCTCCAGCCTGTGGAGACAGCATCGTTCATTCACTGTCTTCTGTTGATGGATGTGAGTTCTTCCCATCCTTAGGCTATTCACACAGTGACACAGGGGATGATACCCTTGTCCATGGGTCATCCTACTCAGAGGGAGGCCCCCAATGGAAGTGGCTCTGCTAGGTCACAGGGTGTGTGCATTTTATTGGTGTGGGTCTTGCCACATTCCCCTTCTAGACCTAGTAGCAATGGAGTCTCCCCACAACTCCTGGACACAGGCAGGGAGGGTGGCTTATCCTGATTTACATACATTACTAAGATACCAGACTGTGTCCCTTGCCGAGGCCATTACAGGTGTCAGTGGCCCCATCACCGCTCAGATCTGCCGCCTCCTAGTAGAGAGCTCATTCCCCTACCTGAGCTACGTGCCCAGGTGATGCCCTGGCTGAGAAAGCAGGAGGTGGGAGAAGTCAGGGGTCATGTCTTCATGATGACATTTACTCCTACAGCCAGTGCTGCGAGGGAGGGGCCATCATTGCCCCTTTGTTAGATGAGGACACTGATGCTCAGAGAGGGGACCTGAACTGAGCAGCAAGGGGAATTAAGATTTGAATCCCAAACAGCATAACTCACAACACCTGCTCGCCACAATCCTACACGGTGCTTGTCATAGTGTAGACAAAGCTCCAACCCTTTTCTTACAATCATGCATTTTTATGTTGCTCAGAAAAAAAAAAATTTTTTTAAAGGGTCCTCAGTGGAGGCAGGTCTAGGTTTCCAACTGAGATGAGACAGACTTTCAAATGTCCCATGATGTGGCCTGAAACTATTCCTACAGGACATGGCTCTCCTATGGGAGCATCCAGGAGGCCTTCCCTTCTTTGTGGTGTTTTCCTCACTGAGCAGCCGCAGGAGCCGCCTGGCTCAGTGGCCTGGACAGAGCAGAGGGGTCGCTGAGCCCCAGCACCTCTATGGGCAGCATTCCTGTCTCTGCTGAGGGAGAGGTGGGAGCATTTCCTAGAGGGCCCTGTGGCCCCAGTGAGCAGGAGTTCATATTCTAGACTCACTGTCAGGAGCCCTTTCTCCCATTTGTTGCTGTAGGGCCCTGGCCTGGGCACTGGAGGGCACTCCTCCCTGGAGCAGGTGGCGGTCAGGGTCAGGCTCCTGAAGGTGGGCACTGGCTCTGCTGATGGATGTGAATACCTGGGAGGCCACAGGAAATACCTCTGGGGACAGGAGTGGCCGAGGACACAGTCCCTTCCTTTCTCTCAGTTTTAGTTTTCCCATCTCTAAAATGGTGATGATCGTGGACTCCTTTAAGGAGAGTGGGAAGGATTTGAGGTGCTCTGTCTGAATCACCCAGCACAGAGTTGCACCCCCAAATCAAGGTATTATGTCACTGTCGTGAACAACTTAAATTGGCTGGGCCACAGCTTCTCACCTGCAGAAATTGTGTAGAATAACATAATACTAATAAGATCACCGATTATTGAACTACTGATGATATAATCCAATCTGCCTTTATAGAATGTTTCAGGTGAGCCTGTTGAGAGGACAGACCCTCACTCAGCCACGGCATTGTCATCCCACAGCTGTGTGCTCTTGGCAAGTCTCTGTCTCCCCCAAGTCCTCAGTTTCCCCACTAGATGAGGATGATAATCATCGCTCCATTCATGGGTCTGTAAGGATTGGAGACCAGCTATGAACAGCCAGTGCACAAAAATGAGACTGTCCAGGAACTCTGTCCCTGGGCCCAGACTGTGGGAAAGCCCCCCCCTGCCAGTCCCACGGCTTCTCCCCCAGAGACATCACCCTGAAATGGTTCAAGGATGGGAATGAGCTCCCAGCCTCCCAGACCACCGTGCACCCAGAGGGAGACAGCCCTTCCTACAACGTCTCCAGCACAGCCAGGGTGCTGCTGGCCCCGGGGGATGTCCGCTCCCAGGTCATCTGCCAGGTGGCCCACGACACCCTAAAGGGGGACCCTCCTCTTCGTGGGACTGCCAACGTGTCTGAGGCCATCCGAGGTAGAGCCCCTTGCACCCAGCCCAAGCCACACCTGGCCCCTGTCCTCCCAGCCTGATCCTCCTCCTAATTTGCTCCAGGCCTGGAATTGCCTGGAATCTAATTCCTCACTGTCCTCCCATCCCCAGGCACATGGATCTCCCCATTACCCACCCCTGTCTAATGGCAGGTGACAAATCTACATGCTAAGCCATGTACTTGATACTTTTATCTACTTTACCAATAGCAACTCCATTTACTGAGCACCTACTATAAGCCAAGCTTTTATGTGCTTGGTAATTTCATTTATTTTGCTGAAGTTAATATGTTCTAACTGCATGCCTGGGGCTATGGTGGTTGATTTCAATCATATGACCCTAATGGCAGCTACCGGTCCTTGAGTGCCTCCTGGGTTCAGGTTACGGTGCTTAATGATTTCATTCATTGAAAGAATCTTCCGTGTCTGAGCCCGTCCTCTGCGCGGTGGGGGAGCTAAGTTCTGGAGCCCCCTCTGTGATCTGTCTTCCATGAGGTCAGAGCTTCTGCCCTTTGCTATTTCAGTTCCGCCCACCTTGCAGGCCACCCAGCACCGCATGGCAGGGAACCAGGAGAACATCATCACCTGCCTGGTGAAGAACTTCTACCCCCGGCGCCTACAGCTGACCTGGCTGGAGAACGGAAAAATGTCCCGAACAGAAATGGCCTTGACCCTCATAGAGAACCAGGATGGGACCTTCAGCTGGAGGAGCTGGCTCCTCGTGAATCTGTCTGCCCACAGGGAGGATGTGATGCTCACCTGCCAGGTGGAGCACGATGGGCAGCCAGCACTCACCACAAACCTCACCCTGATGACCTCTGCTCACCAGAAGGACAAGGACAAAGGTAAAATCCAGGGACAGACCTCCACTCCAACTGATCCAGCTCTATTTCAATTTTATCTTTAATTTAAAAATAAATAAATAAATAAAT